GAGAACTAAAATCCAATTAATTGCTATATTCCAAGAATACATAGAAAGCACAAGTTCGGAAGTATTTACAAATCTAGACAGATTAGCTTAGTAAACGAGCCTGCAGAAAACTCTGGGGAAGTTGATTTAGAAGCAACACTGGAAATGTCATTATACTTTCCGTGTCCCTTATTGAAATCTACATGCACCATAAGTGCTTTAGCATTAGTATGACCTGGTATTAGCAACCTGGTCAGATCAGTAGGAAGGCATTGTAAAACATATCTATTTCTGCCTCCTCTGTCATAGCATTCAGCATTGGGTTGTCGACTTGGTACATCTCCCAGCAACGACTGGGGATGCACCAAGTCAATGGTCTAAGGCTGAAAATTAATATGAATACGTTAGCAAAGTTTACAGTACCATGTAGGTCCTATAAAGTGCTGTCGCTCGGATTAAGTTGTGAAAACGGGGTCAAGTGAAGACTGCGATAACAGCCTCCACCATCTTAGTCTTCTTATATATAACTAAATGCTTTAGTTTACATCCTATGAATTAAATAAAGTACTAGTCTAACAAAATTATTAGAAATGCAGGTAAACACACAAAGGCTAATGGAATGGATAGTGCATAGTGCTATAAACACTAGTATTTTGTATAAAGATAAACCAGTTCTCAAGAGATCGCTAGATATATTGGTTGTCTCTAAGTTAGATTAAAACTATCTGAGAAAGATTCGCAAGTTAATTTAATTGGCGGCGGATTCCTTTCCGTCCACTATAGTTTGGCTTTAATGAGATACTCAGTTTAACGTAATCCTCAAGTAATCTATCTTCAACATGTTCCGATAAAAACGTGCCAGGCTAACATCTGTCATACAATTTGAAAGGCGCCATCATAACAAGGAAGCATTCTTTAAGCAATCGAAAGCTTATAGTGAATCAGGAAGACTAAGTCATGTTAACTCTGGTATTTTAAAAAATGTCTAGAAAATCAGGTCCTCTACATATATATATTAAAGGTTTTTATAATATTTCTTGTGCCATGTTAAATTTTAAAAAAAAACTATTAGTTAGGGGCTACTTTTCGATGGGAGGTCAAATTTGTCAAGTTGCATCACAAGAGAACTAGATCGGAAATGATACCATGTAATTATTATAAAAATTAGGAAAATACATTATCTTATTCAGAAAATGTTTTTGAAGCCACAGAATATGGAAGGCAATTTAATTGAAGGTATGAATAAGAATAATTGTCTTATCCATAATAGAAAACTAAGGTTTAATAGTACAATTATTTTAATGTATTAAAGATCAAGAAATAAAGCATTGGACAGAAACGTAGCAAGCATAGTTAAGGGAAGACTATTAATTTATCAATGTGGATTATCGTACACATTACCTTGGGGTACACAGTCATAATCCAGAAAATGCTATTTCATTCGCAATATTTATTCAACTGGGCACTAGCGGAGCCCTCAAAGGCTGCAAATAACTACCCAACTCATAATGGCTATTACAATTTAACAGCTAAAAGACTTCCGTATAGTTAGCGAATGTAAACTGCTTTTAGGATCGGAACGTAGAAATTAAAAAAAAAACAGCCGTGAAGGATCAGGTAGGGCTAGTCACAATAGTAAGAAAAATAAAGTTACATAAATCCAACCAGTTACGCCACCTATATTGTAACATGTAAATTAATAATAACTCACCTGAGCTTGACAATTATTTGCATTTTTATTCCGACGCATGGCCCGAAAAATGGCGGCGGCTCCCGAGGGGGGAATTTTACTCAATGATCCAGAAGGTAGAGGGCCATCGCATTGATGATCAAGTTCATTTCGATGTTTAACACAAAAGTTTCTGTGACACTTATCACAGACAAGAAGAATAAGTTCCTTTCTTTTGCACCGAGCCATACTACATGCATTTGGAAAAACCTGCAGGAACAAGAAAAACGAAATAGCTATAAATTGAAATAATGAAACGCATAAATATATTAAAGCATAGCGAGTTACGCTTTAGAGCTTGAATGAACAACCATATCGCGCTAAGAAAATCGCAAAGTCAATTAACACTTCTTTAAACAATAATTAAAAGCGTTATATGGATGTATGTAAGTGCGAATTAAATAAGGTACAGAAGAACATATTCAATTCAGGTAAGAACTACCCTTATACTTACTTTGCCTTTTAACTCTAAGGCAGGTTTAGATTGACAGGCCGTATCGATATGCTGACCAACTCTTATATCAGGTAATTCTTCAGGGCGACAAGGAACAGGGGTACCACATAGAGGACATATAGGTACTTGCACGTCCTTGCCGGCGTCCGGACAAGAATGTGCAGTATATGTATAATGATCCTTGCAAAAAACACCCTGGCAGCCAGAACATCTTACTGGCAAAAAGTCTAGGAAAATTAAAGGGAAAATTGCAAACCCAATCTGTTACAAGACTTGTGGGCACAGTTAGAGCCAACCTCGGGAAATTCCATTAATAAGTTTATAACAGACTCGCTGCCACTCAGCTCATTAAAACTTTGTCAATAAATAGTTAGAGAGCAGTTACAAATTTACCAAATTCTTATGAAATTTTTAGTTTTAAGTTGAATAAAAATTATATACTTATCTTTTTTCGTTAAGGCTGGGAAGGATTAGTAGTAAAATAATAGCAATTAAAAATATATTAAATATAGC